AGTGAGAGAAGACCTTCACCCTGAAACCCACAGCGTCCCTTTTCAGCAGGAAGTAGCTAAGAGAATATGCCATCCCCTTTTCATTATGACTCAGGGTGAAGTCTCTCTCAGGGAGGAGTGATAGGGAATGGCAAAGGACACACAGACAAAGAAGATTAATCAGAACTGGCTTTGACAAGCACTGTGGCATTTGGACAAGAACAAACTGGGAGGAGGGTAGAGAGAATAGTGCAACAATGAATGAATGGAAACCCAAAATCTCTGTAAATGTTTATGAAAATTAATAAAATATAATTATAGGAAAAAAAGATATTAAAAAAAAAAAGAATTCACTTAGTGGTGTCTTTTACCAGAAAAACAAGGTTCGGCTGCCAGCCACTGGAAATACCAATCCTGGAGATGAGTTGGAATGGAAAAGGCAGAAATTTTATTCATCATCTCATTATCTCTTTGCAGTCAAGTCGAAGAACTGATAGCAGACCCTCCTGCAGGCTGTCCACTCTTCTCCAGCAGAGGGGCTGGTGGATTCGCACAAGAGAAGGAGTTAGTAGGATAACTCCCTGCAGACTACACCACCAGAGCAATCTCCACTCAAGTTACCTCTTTGTATTTCTAATGTCTTCAGAGCTGTAAAGGAGGTGAAGGAATCTGTTTATGGAAGCACTTAGCTTGTTGCTTCTTAATATTACTTCCTCTAGCTCTTTTCTTTCTCTAGATAGTTTTCTTTCTTTCTCCTCTCCCGTCTTTCTAAACTAGATTGGACCTAATGAATAAATTAGATTCAGAACTAGATCCCCTCTGATGATTGTACACGTAAGTTACAGCTCTTGAAAAATTAAAAGGCCTGGGGATGGTTGCACAACGTGGTGAATACCATTAATGTCACTGAACTGTGTATTTAAAAATAGTTAGAATGGCAAATGCCTTATTATGCATAACTTAATACAATAAAATAGAAAATTAAAAGACATGCAAGAAGACCATGTAAAAGGAAGACCCAAAATACCTCTTAAATGAAGAAACAGCTGCATCACTACTGGGAATTGTACTTAAGGAAGTCTGTACACAGGAAATATCCTGGGGTGGGGTAGAAGTTGCTAGGAGAAAGGAAAAGGAAGTGGAGTGGAGCCTTTTGTGCCCTGAGGAAAGAGCGTTTTCCTCTGGGAGGGCGGCTATAGCTGCCTACTTACTTCCTCAGAGACAGCTGTGCTGTTCAGCAGGGTAATCACTTCTCACATGAGGTTATTAAAATTAATTAAACAGAAGTAAAAAAAATTCCATTTATCAGACACAGTAGTCACATTTCAAAACTTTAACGGCCACATGACAGCACAGATACAGAACAATATTATCATCATAGTAAGTTCCAGTGAATAATACTGAATAATTCTGGATTGGAGGTGGTGGAGCATTAGGAAGGGATACATACATGTGCCGACTTTTCCTGCATAAATTCTCTTAACATTTGAGTGCAAGGTCTTTCTCCTCTGCCTGCCATCTCCTTCTCACATCTGAGTACCAGTAGAGCAGGGACGTGCACTAGCAGCCAGGCTCTCTCTCTTTTTCTCTTTGTCCTGCCTTCTAGCCTGCTCCTGCCCTTGCTACGCCCTTTCAATCCCTGGAAAACAAGCTGCAAAAAAAAAAACAAAAAACTTTTCCATCAACTTTGGCCTAGTTTCCTGGTCACAAACTGGAATGGGAGGAACTGCTGGAGTCTTGAAAAGGAAGGACAGAAGTAAATTAACCATGAACATAAACATCACCATGGAGAGAGCTAGACTGACACATTCTTTAAAAAAAAAAAAACCACAACTGGAAAAGACACACCAAAAGAGCTACTGAGAATGAAAGATGAACTAAAGTACAAAAGAGAATTGAAATGGGGAAGGATCTTTCAAATTTCATTTTAATTCACATTAATTTTATACAGACTTCCAGCAAACTTTGTTTGAATGTGGTAATCCATAGGAAAACCAGCTCTCAAATAAGGACCAAAGTGGGTTGGTGGTGTTATGTGTCCTTGAGTCACTTGTAACTCATAGCGACCCTGTGTACAATAGCCCTGAAACCTGCTCTATCCTGTGCCAACTGTCTCTCCCATAGTACCTTCAGTACCTCAGTCACTGAATCAATTCATCTCATCAATGGTCTTCCTTTCTTTCTCAGTCCCTCCACCTTTTCAAGCATTATGTTCCTCTCTAAGGAATGGTCCCTCCTTGTAACATGCCTAGAGTATGACAGACAAAGCCTCAGAATCCTTGCCTCTAAGGAGCAGCCTGATTTCACCCTCTGTAGGATGAACCTGTTTGTTCTTCTGGCAGACCATGGTATATTCAACTCTCTTCTCCAGCACCCCATCTCAAAGGCATCAGTTCTCTTGCTAACAACATCCCTGTTGTTGTCCAGCTCTCTGATGCATAGCAAGCAATTGCCAAGGCCGTGGCCTGGATCAGGCACATCTTAGTCTCCAAACTGAAGTCATTTCTCTTCAGTACTCTCGAGAGGTCCCTGATAACAGACTTTCCCACTGCAGTTCGTCTTTTGATTTCCTGGTTGCTGGTACCAAGTGTTGATTGTGGAGCCAAGCAAACTGAAGCTGTTATCAAGGGCCAAGTTTAGATCATTCTATAAGAGTTTAAATAAGCCAGAAATTAGAAAGGTCATTGATCATTACCTTCTCAAGGTTTCTCTCACACTAGTCATACCTTTAAGAAAAGTTAGCTGTCGCTTCCATTAGAAGTGGAAGTGTGGTATCAATCTTCATTACCCTACAAGGAAGAAATATGAACTGCAGAAGCATATCCTAAGAGATGGGGACTGAATATTCAGTAAACATTCACTGAGCTATAATTACATACTTGGAAGGGAACTATGCTAGGAACTACAGGAGTGAAAATGGTGGTTGTTGCTGTTAGGTACCATGGAGTACAAATCAGTGATCCTGTCAACAATAAACCTGAACCCTGCCATTCTGTGCCATCCTTCTAATTTCTGACACACTTAAACCCATTGCTGCAGGCATGGTGAAATTTGGGCAATCAATAAGGAAGGAAAAATTGATGTCACTGAGTTGTGGTATTGGAGAAGAATACTGCATATCCCATGGACTGAAAAAAGAACAAGCAGGTATGCCTTGGAGAAAAGTGCAGTCAGAGCGTTCCTTGGAGGCAAAGAGGGCAAAACTTTATCCCTCACACTTTGGACATGTAGCTAGGAAAGAGCTATTCCTTGGAAAGCGACATCAAACTTGGAAAGAAACTAAATGGAGGAGAAAGGGAGACCCTCAATGAGGAAAACGGTAAGCTATCTTCAAATAATTTAACACTCCTAACTCTAAACCTTTACGTCTTGAATGATTTCTAGTCGGCAATATAATCAGATTTGGTTAATTCACCTGGTTGCTAATCCCAAAACTGTTTGAAAGAAAGGGCTCATGATCTTCTGAACGTTCAGACATTGAAAACCTTGTAAGGACAGTTCAACTCCAACACACATGAGGTCACCATGAGTTGGAAATGATTGAAAAGGCAATCAGTAACTCTGATGAAGCCAAATTTTAAAAAGAAAAATGTCAACCCTTTCCTTCTAAATACCTTCAGAAACTTTTTCCCCTCTATTTGAAAAGCTCACACACTCCTAAACAGAATGATCTTAGCAACGATTAACAATGAACACTGAAAACTTGGGCAAAAAGATACAGTAAAATGTAATAGGAAGAAAAAGTACATGTACTTCAAATTCCTTCCCTCTCTACCCCACCAACCCTTCATTCTCACTGTTTTACGATCAAAGAATGTTATCACCAAAGGGCTTTTTTAGCATCATGTGAATTGTACTTTATGAGAAAAGGACCTTCAGGTACACCTGCTTTCTATTAACATCTCCAAGGCCATCTCATAAACAAATAAAAAATGCAAACACTCTGTCATTAAAATTTTTATTTATTACAAAGAATATCCCCACTTGGGTTGAAAATATATTTGGTTAAGTACAAAATATAGTTTTATCATACAAAAAGATAATCGATAAAAAAAATAAACAAAACCACCTTCAGCCCACATATTTTATAGCTGTAGAGTTCTCAGAAAAAAGAGCTCCAGCTCAGTGCTGACACAGGACAGTGAACAAAGTGCTATGACTGAGGATGCCTGACAAAGTGCTAAACAAAGGTTGTCAACATCCCAGTCTCCTAACACCAGGCAGGAAAGGGGCCCTGGAGCCTTTGTGAAGACCTGCCCTCCAGTTTGTCATGGGAGCATCCCGAGGCTCTGATCACAGTGCTGGGGCATCTTGATGTCTGGAGAAGTCACAGTGGGCAAAGATGGGAGCAGCAATCATTCCCATATGATTAAGAGTGTCAGAATGACAAAATTCTGTACACTGGGACAAAGTATCAAAAGTAATACTTTTTTTCATTGTGGTTACCCCTAGAGACAGACAATTTAGCTTACAAAAGAATGGGAGAAAGAAAAAGAAGAAAAAAAACCTTTGACAAAAATTAAAGTGCTGATAATATCACCTTAGAATCAACTCTAAGGAGAAACAGAAAAATAAAAAATTCTCCCAGATGAAAATGTTTGCAACAGGAGAACACAGTGCAATCATCTTTTAAAAATGGCTTTTAAGACCTTTGGTGGGACATAAGTACAACTTAAACCAGGTTACATAGTAGATTCTGAGCAACAATTTACAGCTTCTTCCCTTCAATTCACAGGGAAAGCTCTCTCCAAAGTCTAAAACCAAATCAGCCCTGGATGGCTTTGTTTTTTTTTTCTTCTAAAGTAAGTATAAAAGATAACACTGATTTTCAGAACTCTTTTTTAACAAGGTTTTGGCCAAAATGTTTTCCCATTTTCCTGGTTTGATAAATCAGCTCTGTTCTACATGGCACAGATGTTCAAGGTCTGATGTTACATGATTATATTATCATCTCCACAAAACCCCTGGGAAGACCATGCCAGGCTATCATTCCTTGACTCGAAAAATGCAAAGGCCTTAATTTTTTAAGGAGATCTGAGAAATCAAACAGGTTTATAACTCAGACAAGCCTGAGTTTTTCCAGTGTGTTTTTAAACCCAACCAGCAAACACCTCTATATCACAACATCGGCACTGGCTAAGGGCAAGTCCACACTGCGTAGGGCCTAGAAGATGGCCTGCGGAACACCTCCTACATTGGGAAGTCAGAGGCTGAAGTGGACACAGACCTCACTGTAGAGACTATCAGGTCTCTGAAAATGTGAGTGTCCAGGAAGAGAGAAAGAAACAAATAGATAAAACTAGCTGCTTCTTTTCTTTCACATGCTCACTGCACATTGTTGTTGAGGATGCAAGGGTCCACCTGGAAGGAAAAAAGAAGAATCAATTTTAGTTTTGCTAAGAACTAGAAGATCAATCTAGTTTAGCCACCCTTTTAGGTCAACATCCTATAGAAGGATTAAGATAAATGACAATTCTCACCTCAGTATAAGTAGGTGGAGGCATGAACTTGAATTCAGGAGCATACATAAAAATAGGGCTGTCTTGAGAACCATCCACGTCATCTAGCAATGGAGTGGTGGGACTTTCTAATCGGTGATCTTCAGGAATGATATCCATATAGCAAGGAGGAGCTGGAGAGAGAACATATGGAGTTGAGATGCTTAGCCAGAAAAGCATGACTGTTAGAATTTACCGACTGAAACAACAGGCAAAATGGGAAAGAAGAGGCATGAGGTCTGGCTCACCTTCTGGGGTATCAGGGATATTCAGATCCACCCAACTCATCTCAGAACTGGTTCGGCTGGCCATGCTTGATGTCCGGCTGCTCAGACCTGACCTACTGCCAATTACCAAGGGCAGGTCAAGTATTACTTTCTTCGATCCAGGTACACTGACATAGATCTATAAAAGAAAAATAAGTTTGTTAGTCTTGAGGACTGGGGGGGGAAAAATCAGTTATAGAACAAATACACAGTTCTTTCTTAGGGCCACTTTCACCCACTCACCAGTAAGAAGTATTCAACTCGAAGGATGTTGCAGCCTAGAATTGAAGGCCTGATCTTCTGCACCCGAAGGCTCTTGCCACGCCAAGATGCACATGTGCCTGAGATAATATGATTGCCTCTGACCGATGACAACTTCTGCGTCAGCACCTTGGTCTGGCCATTGGCAAGGTAAGTGTGGCGGGCAACAATGGCTGCTTTGGGGACCACAATTCGGGAACATGTATTCTCGAAGTCAGCATGGATGGAGATATCATCACCTACCAATGAGAAGATGAAGATATAATGAGACTCAGTAGCATTTCCTCTGCTCCACCTTATCCCTAAAGCTGGAGCTGCTGGCATCACCAGTCTACGCACTTTAGGCATTATAATTTTTTTTTACCTTCACAGAATCCTTTTCTTTCAATTCGGGCAGAGACAGACACACGCCCATCAGGAATGAACATGCAGGAAACTTTCTTCTCTTTTTTAGCAGACACAGGTGCCTATATGAAATAGAGAGAAAAAAGAAAGTGAAGACTTTATCGAGATCTTTTCCATCCCACCTTCCTTTCTACTTCTTAGAGAGGGTAGCTTTCTCTCCCACCTTATTGACTAGCTAAGGCTTAGGCTGCTTCTAACAAGTACCCAAAACAAGGAAAGAAATCTTATAAAGAACCTCACCATTAAATCAGGTGTATTGACATCCACTAGATCCATCACTTCAAAACTCTTCTTAATCTCCTGAGTAGGTTGGCTGGGGCGATCAAGAAAAGCCTTCACCCAGTAATCTACACATCCATATTTTCCTTTATAGGATGTTCCCAGAGGCCTATGTCAAGAAAAAAGTGAACAATTGTTTTAAAAATATTCACTAGAACAGTAAGAGATTTAAAAATGTGTAGATTTTTAGAGACAGAATTGTCCAAAGATGCTTTCAGTTGATACTTACCCCTGGGGAAGCTCAAAGCCGAATTTGTACTCGTATTTGTTACCAGGCCTCATGATCACCATCTCATTCTCACCTGAAGGGAGAGGAAGGAAGGTAAGCAACTATTTAGTTTCTTGTTATACTTAAAATGCATCTGGATGATAACAGTGCTTGAACAGCATGTAAGGGCACTAAAGTACCCCCCCCCACCACCACTCTCACTCTTTATATTCTTAACCGAGAGATTCAGTTGTAAGCTCTGCATTTTTCTAAGATATAACCAGGCCACTTAAGTCACTATCTCAAACAGAAAGCCAGCAAATAGCAAGCAACCCTGAAGCATACATCTTTGAACAGCTGAGCCAACACTCCCCAGCATCACCTTTAGGAGAGTGTACTTGAACACTCTGCATTTAATCACTATTTTAGGAGGTGCGAAGGTCTTGCATATTGAAAGGAAAACAATCAACATAAAATTCAGACCATTCAATCTCAACACCTTATAATATTTAGTGCGGACTCCCTCGATTAATTTCTACCTGCTTTTCTAATGAGCTTTCACCCTCGTGCCCTAGCTTAACCAATAACCTTGGGACCCTCCCTGAGAGGGGCAGAGTCGTTTCCTTACCGGTCGGGTGCTCTTCCAGGAGCAGCGTGTCCTCGTAGCGCAGGTACTCCAGTGTCTGCTTGCACTGCTGAGAGCCCTGCATCCAGAGGACTTTGGCCACTCCGCAAGCCAGCACCCTGACGGCCTTGACTCTTGTCACTTCACACACCTCCACTATCACCCGGCCAGCCACCTTCTCCCCACTACTGTACACCTTCTCAGGGTCGTTAAAGAACACCTCGAAAGACCTGATCTTCTTGAACATCACCATGATTAGGTTGTCTCTAGAGTTAGAAACAAAAAAAGCCCAAAACGCCAAGAAGGGCTTTTGGAAATTATCTCACTCCTTCTAAAGAATGAGTATACCGTTGAGCAGGTGGAATAAAAAGACCAATCTCAATGACTAAGGTTTTTAAACAGTTTCCAAAATTTTGGCAGCTGGTAAATGCCAAAAGATTACAAAAGAAATGCCAATTATTTTCTCTCTCTTCCTCAATAACTAGCAAAGAGCTCGAGATCTCAGCAGAAGGTCTTGTCACACCTAGTCTGAGCAGTGGAGCTGTGGTTTCAGCAGAGAGCCGGAAACTGCTTTATATAGTAGCGGGCTAGTAAGGGCCACGCGAGCGCTGGCCGAGAAGCGCGTGCTGCCCTCGTGCACAGTTCTCCCATTGGCTGCCCTTGCCTTGTTTACCAGGAGTCCGACCAATCAGCGAGGTAGTAGAGGCTCGTGGACACTGTGTGCTCCTGGCGGGGAAAATGGTTGTTGTGCTCCGCGGGGCGCTGGGGGCGGAGGAGTTACGGCGCGGCTTCCTTCAGGCGCTAGGAAGGAGGGCCCGGCGCTGACCCGTAAACCTATCCAAGGGCGAGTTGGCGTCCCGGGGCGGGTGGGGTGCGTCTTTGGGAGCGGCCGTTTGAGAGAAAAGGAAATGTGCTTATGAGGGAATTTTTTTCCCCTAACCTTAGCCGGGCCGATTAATATAGAGACAACCGCTTATTCCTGGCTCTAAAATCACAAGTCCCACGAAACACAATTCCGCAGCCCAAAGAAAGGTTTATAATTAGGGTGGAGTGCAGAGGGTGGCGGTGCTACCAGTCAGGAAGATCCCCATTGTCGTTTTCTTTTCACACATCTCTATTACTAAAAACAAAAACCCCGTTTTAAAGACAGAAAAAACGTAAATATTTTTTTTTTTAACCCTCAGTTCTACTAAGAAAACCGATGTGTGGGGCTTATGGGGCCCGACACCACCATTTGTACCCTCGTTCCGTTCTCTCTGTTCCTTGGAGCGGAAATCAAAAGGGCGTGTTTACATCCTGTTGCTTATCCCCTCATCTCTGCAGCGTCTACCTGCAAAGTTGGGGAACACATTGTTTATGTTCCCCGTTTACCTCACTCCCTCTGTAGTGTGACCTTAAGGCTCAGGTAACCTCACCCTTTTCCTAGAAAGGAAAACAAAGAATGCTTCACTCTTTTTCACTTTTCTTCCTGAATTACTTTCACAACTGTTTGTTACATCTATCCCCCTCTGACTCGCTAAATCCCAAAGTTCACCACCAGTAAAAATTTAGCCAGCATGCCTCAGAGCCTTCATGTTACTTTAGCAGGGAAGATTTGTTTATTAGCAGTACCCGTGGACAAATAGCCTTACACTTATTTGAGGGAACAATTCCCGTCTTTTAAAAATGTGTTTTCCTGAATAGAAATCAGTAAAAAGGGAAAGAAGAGAAAGAGGTTAATCATAGCTCTATAAATTTCAGCTAGAGGATCATGTTTCTTTATTCTGTGCTGATTCAGTTTGGGGATATTTGTCCAAGGAGTTTGACCTCAGCTAGCGATGAGTGGTTTCAGGACCTAACTTCTGAGAGACTACTTTATAAATGGAAGAAAAACTTGTATGCAGTGGTGCGGGAATTCTCTTCCATTTTCTTTGATTCCTAACCCTTTCTCCTATCTGTAACCATATTGCCTTATGTAGGAAAGGGAAAGATAATATCCCCAAGGTTGAGATGGAGAAGCATTCATTCCAGTGTATGGAACTCTGCCCTCTCTCAGCAATAAAGAGCCATATAGTCATTGTTGTTAAGGATCCTCCTTTCTTTCTCACAGTCTACTCTTAAGTTGACACCCTAAGGCTAACAAGTTATAGCTGCTTAACTCCAATATTAAGCAAGCACAACAATCCAGAATCATGACTATCTGCAAACAAACAAAGCAAACTGTCCACACTCAGGAACAAGAAGCGGAACATGATGATCCTTAGGTTGTGTGGGTTTGAGGTTACACACTGTTCTAGAAAGTTAACCAACTAGGTATGAGGTGTTTCCAGTCAGTCAGTAGCATGAATAGTAACTCAAACTGAGCAGGTAATTTTTTAAAAATTCAAAATTGTGACTTCTAGGTGAAATTTTTCTTGTATGAAAAGAACTTTGTAAAGAAATACATGAATCAATATTGTCCAACAGTGTGATATGTAACTACGTAAATTTTGAGGGGATGAGAGGAAATTGGTCATAACGGTTCAGAGTAATGTTAATTTAAGACATCTGGGGGTAAAAAGGAAACAGTGATATTTATTTGGGTACATCAGTGAAGGGACTCTAGTAGAGTGGTCTGTAGGGAGTTATGCTGCTAATTCAAAGGCACCACCTCTCTGCCAGTTCAAATCCACCACCAGCACTGTGAGGGAGAAAAGATAAGGAGTCTCTTCCCAAGTGATTTATAGCCTCCAAAGGCCCAAGGGAGGGTTAGCTAGGCGTTGGCCGGTTCTGACTCAAAGGCAAGTGACATTGACTTTTGGTATCTATGAAATATAGCCAGAATGCTCCTTAGAAGGGTGTGTAGTGAGACTTTGTCTTATATGCTTTAGACCTGTTATCAGGAGGAGCTATTTTATGGTAAAGGACATCATGATTGGTAAAATGGAGAGTTAGAAAAAGGAAGATCCTCAGTAACATGGAGTGACTCTGTGGCTACAGAAATGGGCTTAAACATGGGAGCAATTGTGAGGATAGTAAGTAGCAGGCAATGTTTTATTCTGTTGTACCAAAGGTCTCTGTGAGTCAGAACTGACTCAACTCCTAGCACCTAGCAACAACAAAGTGCTAAAGGTGCCCTGGTAGCTCAGGGGTTAAAACAATTATCAGCTGGGGGTTCTGACACTCCATTGGAAAAGATATAACATCCATGGGGCAATTCTATTCCGACCTATAAGGTCACTATGAGTTAGAATCAACTCATTGGTAATGGGTAATATAAGAACTAGTGAATTTTTTTCATTTTCAAAATTCCTACAATTCTCATCTCACTCTGTACCGCTGGTTTCTTCTTCCGTTCCTACTTCCCAGAACCCCATTTAGACTACTTATTTGCTCTGTGGTATGCCTGAGTTCTTCGGAATGCCAAACAATTTTGGCAGCAGTAGCTGCCTACCAGGACTGTAGCCAAAGCATGTTCTGAAATGATGCCCTCCTAGACAGGGTTGTTTACGACCTTTCACCGTATAACCTGGTAGTTTGGCAAAAATCTGTCCCCTGGTTATTCTTTTTTCCTGGGCTGAAGGGAGAGAGAAAAAAAAATTTGTAAATACCTTTACTGAAATCAGGGTACAAGCAACATTTTTACAAGGTGAAAAGTAAAAAAGATGAGCCTAAGAAGAAAGACAAAGGAAGGCTAAATACAGAATTTGTCCTTTACCAGGTCTTTCCTCCCCAACACACACACACCTTATTCAATCCCACTGCCAATAGGAAAACAAGAGGTGATTGTTGTTTGTTTGCTTTACTGGAGGTGCTTGAATAAAGCCAAAGTTTTCAAGGTGGGAAGAACTCTTCCAGTAGTCTGTTGCCAAATTAGAAAAACTACTAGTTGCATTTTTTCCTTTAACCTCTGGCCAAACATTTAGATCTCCGAAGATTCTTATTTCCAATGAAAAACACACACTTTCCTTTGTCTTTTTAATCACTTCTGTCACCTCCAGACTTTTACTTCCCATTTTCCCCTAGGGAATGTTATTTTAGAGGCAAACAAAGTCTCCAATAGGAGTGCGAAATTCAAGACTGTCCAACTATGTATATGGCTCCAAGACAAAGAATATGTTATTATTTGTATAACGTCTTAGAGTTCAAAGTGAATTTTTTTAAATTTTTTATTTTTATTATTTAGTGTGCATGTACCGTCAAATCAGATATGACTGGTACAGGAGGATATTGCTCCTCCTTCTCTGGCAGAGCATCTGGTGGATTCAAACTGTGTACCTCTGGGATTGCAGTGCACCTTCTTGCCACTAGGCCACCAGAGCTCCCCCAAAGTGAATTTTTAATAACTGCCATTTATTGAGCACATGTAATGGGCTAAATCTTTTATACAATTATCTCAATGATGCTTTATTTATAAGGTCTTTCCAGAAAGGGCTACAATAACTCTGAGATTAGGGATAGGCCAGGCTCAAGAAGACTTACATAAACTTGCCTAAAACCATTGATCTCTTGAGTAGAGCATTTGAACATAGACCTGTCTTATCTAAAGTATGTACTTCTCTCTTTTTTTTTCTTCTATGTTTTGTTATCCCTCGTGCTTTTACAGTATCTTGTTCCATCTTTACAACTGTCCTGTAAAGCATTCAGGGCACTTACTGGACTCATAAAATTTAGAACAAGAAGAGATTCTTTTGATTTGCAAGGCTATATTGATTTGCAAGCATTCTCTTTTTTTAAAAAAGCATTTCCTTGGTTTTGGTTAAATGACTTGCTCTGACACAAAGCTAGTAACTGGTGAAACCACAACCTAAACCTAGGACTCTCGCTGTTTAATTTCATCTCCAAGATGCTTTGCGGGTTGGGGTTTCTCTATTTCATTTAACATTGTGTAAATAGGAGCAGAAGATAGGATAGGGCCAGAGGGAGTAAGAATAGCACCCTCAGCACCACAGAGTAAAAAGCAGATAAAGGCCCTGTATCCAGCCCCATCGTGCCTCTAGAGACCCAGCAGCAGCAAGAGGTTTAATCATTGCTGACTCACAGTTATGGTACCGGAAATGGAGCTTATTAGGGAAATGAGTGGGAGAGGCAAAGAATATATCACAATACAAGTCCAGGCTTTCAATTCCTTGAAAAGTCCAGAATCTAGTTTCAATTCAGCAGTCAAATCCAAATTATCCAGCAAGGTTTGCCTCAGAGCAGTTATAAGTCAGTTTCTCCTTCAAATACTTAACAAGAACAGCCAAATCTTTAACTGTGGGCAGTACAAATGCATAATCTTGCCACAGTTTTGTCACAACAGTGCCACAGTCTCTCCACCACCAGGGTCTCGC